TTTATAGACGTCTTTCCTTGGTCATCACTCAAGAATTTAATAAAGAATGGACAAAAGCCATGATGAAGGGGCCTTCAAAGTCCAACTTCATTTAAGGCTTGTCATCATGAAGGGGGCTTCTAAGTCAAAGGCCATTTAATGAGTCATGATGAACCTTAATAATGGAAGCTTGAAAGAGAAGTTTTGACTATGTCAAAACCTTATCTTCTAGTCTTTTCTAAATTTTTCCAGACCGTGGAGACCGTGGACTCCCTAGAGCCTTCTAGATTTGTTGGTTTCTTGCGTAATTGATTCGGGCCAATCGGGTCACACGAAATAGACTCATTGGCACTAAAATCACAACCCGCATCATGCTTAGTTCTCAAGATTTTCCGAGGGTTTTCCGCGACAAAACACGTATAATAATCTCGTTCAACCCGAGGTTCGGCGCGGGAATATCCTCAAATATCACCAAGAGACATCAAGTCGAGATTCCAACGTTCTTATGTAGAAAATGATGAATCTTTGAAATCTGACAAAACCGAATAGTTTTGCACTGTTCGCGAAATCGGACTTGAAAACATAGTAAATAGACCTCAAAAATTCTCAAATTTGAATATGTCATAAAAAAGGCCTTAAAAAACATTTTTCATGCGGAACACGAAATCTGAATCTTTCTATAAACACAATTTTTAGGAGCTCAAAGTCAAACTAAAAACAGTTCGCTGGAACAGAATTCTTGTTTCTCAAAGTAAGCTCTTTCTAGTATCCAAATCATCTCGAAAAATTCCCAAATTTATATATGTTATAGAAATAAAAGTTCTCAACAAATTTTGTGAAGGAAAATTTTCCAAAATTGGCCCAGAAAAGCTTGTAGAAAATAAAGAAAGTGTGAACATCACCGAAATACCCATTCTAGGCAGTTTTACATGGTCCGTAAATTAGGCTGTTGTACTACTCATATCAAGTCCAAAAATTCTGAAATTAAAGTATGTAAAACGTCAAGATGTTTGGAGAAACTTTCAAGAAGGAAGTGTTTGGAAATTCGAATCATAAAAGTCTCCACAAAAATAACAAAATGAAGGGGGTAGAAAGGATCCGAAATTGGGTTTTCCAAAACAAGAGTAAAAATTGGTTCCAATTGAAAAACTACCAAATTTAAACCATAGCCATTTTCCAGGGACTGAAATTGACGATGTTACAACAAATAATCTCACACCTAGAGTCTTCGGTTGCACCTCATTTGTACACGTTCATAATCAACAAAGACCTACTTATTAGCTGATGTTACATTTGTAGAAAACAAACCTTACTTTCCACAGTCTTATCTTCAGGGGGAGAAATCATCAGTGAAAGATAAAGACTTTGACAATCTTAATCTTGACTTGCCTCCCAATAATCTTCCAATCCAAGCTCCCACCTCTGATCAATCAGCTCCTGACTAGTCAGTTTCTGATGAACCAGTTCATGCTACTTCAATCCCGGACTCACTCCTTACGTCCGAGTCTATTCCGGAACAAGTGTCCACCCCCGTATCTACTCGTATTTATGACTATGAGATTTGCTCAGGTGTACTCAAGAAAGGTAGCTGTTCTAGACCAAACACAGGTTCAAGATTGGGTTTTGCAAATGAATTACCGATAAGTTCTGACTCTCATTTGCATAATTAGTTGATTGATATGCTAGAAAATGACTCACACCTTCCCATTGCTGTTAGAAAAGGTACTAAAGAGTGCACAAAACGACCATTATATCTACTATCTCACTATGTGTCATTTGAACGCTTATCACCACCTCATAGAAATTTCATTGAGTCTGAACACCATTGCTATTCTAAATACTATATCTGAGGCATTGTCTAAAGAAGAATGGAGGAATGCAATGAGAGAAGAAATAGATGCACTAGAAAAAAAATCATACCTGGGAGATTGTCGAAAAACCGAAGGGAAAGAATCTTGTCAGCTGCAAATGGGTTTTTTTCCTTGAAATACAAAGATGATGGTTCTTTTGAGAGATATAAAGCAAGATTGGTGGCAAAGGGTTATTCAGACTTATAGAGTAGATTATCAGGAGACATTTGCTCCGGTGGCAAAGATGAACACTGTGAGGCTTTTACTTTCTCTGGCGGCTCATTTTAATTGGCAACTTCAACAGTATGATGCAAAGAACGCATTCTTACATGGAGACCTAGAAGATGAGATCTACATGAGTATTCCACCAGGCTTTGAAGGAGAAAGGAAAACAAACAAAGCATGTAGATTACGGAAAGCACTATATGGGCTCAAGTAATCGCCTAGAGCCTGGTTTAGGAAATTTTCCAGAGTTATGAAAGCTTTGGGCTACAAACAAAGCCAAGGCAATCATACCCTCTTCATTAAGCATTTGGCAACAGGGAGAGTGACGGCACTTCTAGTGTACGTTGATGATATTATTGTCATGGGTGATGATGATAAGAAAAAACATGAGCTAAAACGGTGTTTGATTAAAGAGTTTGAAATAAAAGAGCTGGGAAGACTCAAATACTTCCTTGGCATTGAAGTTTCTTACTCTAGATAAGGAATTTTTGCCTCACAACAAAAGTATGTGACCGATCTCTTGAAGGAAATCGGAAAACTTGGTTGTAAGCCAGTAGCTACACCTATTGAGCCTAATATAAAACTTGGGGAGGCAAAGGAAGAACTTGCTGTAGATTGAGAAATGTATCAAAATTTGGTTGGGAAACTCATTTATCTTGTTCATACTAGCCTGATATTGCCTATTTAGTGAGTGTGATTAGTCAGTTTATGCATGACCCAAGAGAATCACACTTACAAGCCATCAATCGAGTGCTACATTACTTAAAAGGAAGTCCCGGAAAAGGAGTCCTATTCAGAAGAAATCAAAAACTGGTGCTACAAGCTTATACCAATGCTGACTATGCAGGATCCATGGTGGACAGAACATCAACATCTGGTTATTGCACATTTCTTGTTGGAAATTTAGTGACTTGGAGGAGTAAAAAACAGAATGTAGTTGCAAGATCAAGTGTTGAATCAGAATTTCGAACAATGGCCCAAGGAATATGTGAGCTATTATGGCTCAAAATCATCCTAGAAGATTTGAAAGTCGAGTGGGAGGGTCCTATGAAGCTATATTGTGACAATAATCAGCAATTAACATTGTTCATAACCCCGTACAACATGATAGGACAAAGCCTATTGAAATTGACAGACATTTCATCAAAGAAAAGCTAGAAGAGGGGTTGATCTGCATGTCCTACATACCTTATGGAAATCACCTAGCAGATGTGCTAACCAAAGGACTCAATGATGGGATCTTTCATGAAATAATTTCCAAGCTGGAAATGGAAGATATCTATTCCTCAGCTTGAGGGGGAGTGTTGAATTATCCTGATTTCTAGGACCTGATTATTAGGAATATTCGATCCTGATTTTTTGGTCCTGATTATTAGGGAATAGCTGCAAATAATTAGTTAGGAAATGATTTCGTAGTATCCCTTAATTTGTGGGATTATAGCTGTATTTTTCAGATATGTTTTTTCCTAGTTTGTACTTAAAGTAGTCCTATAAATAGCTTGTAATCGTTGTACAAAAGAGATACATAATTATCACAATTCTTTCCTCTAAATTCTTCAGAACCTACATGAGCATATGACGAAATTGTAGAAAAAAAAATATGTCGAAAGACTTGAAGATTAGATAAGTAAAAACCACCCAATCATCATGTGGATCTGCAACAATATCCACTGGTCTATAGTTTATTTTTCAGACTGTCAAACAGGCGTGAGATTTACCCGCTCAATGTTATGCCAATAGTGATTTGGCTATTTGGCTCACCAAGATATATAGGAATTGGGGCAGTCTATCCCCGGTTTTTTCAGTTGGATGCAGTCGACTCGGGATCCGTTTGCACTCTCCGAACCTACATGAGAGTGTAAGATTGATGCGAATATGTATGCTAGTTATCGAGATCATATGTGCGTCATTCAATTTTTGACGGTGTTAGTTGACGACTCAGACACAATTCGTGCATCATGCCTCCATCGCTCTCCTCCACCCACACTGCAAAGTATCGTTGCAGAGCATCTCTAAGGGAACCGTATGAAGGGTTCCAAAGCTCAGGAGTGACATTGCTCTTGCTACACCGCACTCCAACTTCTCTTGTCCTGCGCAAGGCTCTCAATCTTGATCCAAATTGTCATTGCAATGTAAAAATAATTTCAGGACTAATAGAGCAAGACTTGCAGAATGTACATCGAATGATATTTAACTTGAAGCAATACTCATTCGTCATCAATCGGTGATGAGCAACTAACCACCAGCCAGAGAAAGCAGCAAATTCTGTGAGGCCCTACAACTTCAAGATAATCTTCTAAAGCTTTCTGTTTTTCTTTTTTCTGTAAATCAATTGTTTTCTCATTGAAACAGCAAAAACATATACTCGGAAATCTTTTATTCTGAATGCTCCACGTAAGGAGAATGTGGGCTGAGAAATTGCTGCTGTTGATTAGGGCGAATCTCCGGAGAGGCATCTCCAATTTAAAATTCTCAATCTTGTGCTATTGTGTCCTGAAGATAGATTTCAACTCCCTCTGCCCACTACACCCAAGAAAAGCCTCCATGATGGCTCTCTTGCTCATTTGTCTCTTAAATCTTATGGACAAGACCATAAAAGCTGCACTTGAGTCAAAGAGGAGCTTCACCTTATTCAGCAGCCACTCTCTCATGTGCAAATTGCGGCGTCGTACAACTGATGGTGCTACATGGAGGCAACATTGTGGGTGCATAAGAAAGTCAGGCGTGAACATGGAGAGATGGACAAAGGACAATGATATACAAATATCCGTCCACCTTGTTATTACACAAATTACAAGTATGCTACATGCAAGAAAAGAGAAACTTGTGATTTTTCTACACCAGCTATGCAGAATAAACTTCAATTTCTTCCTAGGTCTGAACCACTTACCCCAAGAACCAATTTTGAGTGGAAAATAATCGGAAACTATGAAGAGGACACCTTTGTTACGAAAAGCCACGTCTTTAACCCACTCACTTCTTGATAAATGAAATGCCCTTCTGAATACTCTCCGCTAACTCTTTTCTTGCCTCTTCCAAGCCAGCTCTACGGGTTAACAAACAAAAGCCAAGATTAAAAAACTTCATCTTTCTTTGATGTAATCAAAGCAGACCTAAAAGTTTCAAGATTATTAAAACTCCAGACCTTTTGTACTCATTCAGTGGGCCAAGGGGAAGAACCTCCTTGGCCGCAGTACAACCGAGGTGCACTTTGGATGCAAAGAATGGAAGCTCAGTCACCTGAAAATGGGGACAACAATAAAAAAAAAACAAATCATTAGTTTTTTCAGTTTGAATTTAAGAAAGTTAAAGGATTGGATCTTGATAAGTTTTTTCAAGGCACCAAACCTGAGAAGCAACAAATGCACACTCGGCAATGCCAGCATCACCCCTCAACCCACGTAGGCATGCCTCGCCAAACTAGACAGCAAAATATGCCTGCATATATCATTGTTTACGCAATTAAGATGGCTTCAAGACATAATATAGGGAAGCATAGAAGTGAAAAGACGTCATGTCATAATTACACCGCAGAAATAGATGCAGAAAAATCCAGTTTCGAGTAGACATCAACGATCACTTCAAGATGAACTTCTCCACTTACTATCAAAATGCAAGTCATTCTCTTAGCCGTAACAACAAAAGATGTGTGGTGCTCTGTCCCAACATTCTTTCTGTTACCTTCCTTTGTTTTCCTTAATGATGACCAGACAAAACAATCAGAAACTAAGATATTCTCCCCAACTGCTTGCTTCTTCCTATAGCCGAAGACAAAGTAATCACCTTCTACATACTTTCACACGCGAGGTGTCCCATTAATTCCAACAGATCTTTATTAACACCTTTCTTGTGTAGTGGTAATGGATAGGTTGCCAAGGTGGCATTGGTTAATCGAATTCCTTGACCTCTTCAAGTAGAGATGATAACAAGCTTTCTAATGTTCGGTAGAGGATTCATGCCCACATGGACCTAAGAAGTGATTCTTGCAAAAATCTCACCCTTCTCATAAAAAAACTTCTCAGCAGAGTACATCTTCGAAATGGCTTGTGAATTTAAAGAATTTACAGACTCTACATGATTAAGCATGCAGTCATGTGTCTGGGAGACATAATTGCTTGCTTGTAACAGTGTACCCCTTAGGTAGCCTAAGTACTCCAAAGCTTTTGTCACAAGCATTAACAAAATGACATACAAAAAGTAAATTGCTCCATCAAGGTGAAGATGCAAATGCCACAACACAAGATATCAAAAACATGTAATGATGATCCAGCTCCTAGTGAGATATACGACCATTTTCCCTTTTCTTTAGTTTCCATATCCAAGTGCATCAATACAGGAAGTCAAGAACTTGACCTGCACAACCTTAATCGATATTCACACTAACTAATCGAGCGTAAAACCAAAATCTAATGAAATCCCCCTGCATTCATCTTTCCAAATTAACAACTACCGTACTGTGTACACTCCAACATTGAGACCGCAACAAACTTCCCCGAACCTAGCCAGAAGCCGACACAGCTCGATATTTGTAGTAACACTCGAATAATCGCAAACAATGGCAAAATAACATAATTAGCGGTAGAGCATCCAACAAAATCATCCAATAAGCTACCATAACCCGACAGACTTACAGCACAGAACTCAAAGTTGCCATTGCCACCCATTACCAGAAAGTACACATCACCCATACATTCATCACCCATCAAAATACCAGTTTCCCACAGATTGCAATGCAAAAAAGTCAAGCAAATGCTACATGGTGGATTAAAAGTTGAGCTTAAAGCCTTCCATGTAGCAGATACTTATGCAACCACTCATACAAAGCAATTTGTCCTCCTCACTCATAGTTTCGACTGAAACTTTGTTTTTAAGATATAACACAACTTCACCAATTCGAATTCTCTATGAGTCAGAAGACCAGAAAATGCCTCTGGAAAATCAAGCTCTAATACCATTTAACCACCCTAAATTAAGTATACCCGTTGCCTCCAAATAGCAGAGCAATCATCATAGACCTCGATCGTACCTTCACTGCCTTTTCCAAGGCAATTAGTGTTGTTAGTGTGACATTACTACCCAAAAGGCGACACACGTCTTGGAGAGCTCGGCCTTGAGGTCCTTCAACTGGCTCAGCAGATCGGCCTTCGACTTCTGCCTCAGCTCGTGCACCTCGATCCCCGCTGTCACGATTCAAACGAAAAGGCAGAGTTCAAGTCGCGAGAATTCACGATAGCACGCAAGAAGATATCCAACGGAATCGACAGAGAGAGAGGCGGAAACGAGCTGTCGTATCTCTCGCCCATTGCCGTGATGAGATCGCTCAACTGCATGCGACTAGGGTTTCGTCGCACACTCAAGGGAGCGAACGGTGATGGAGGCAAAGGCTATTAGTCGCCTGAAGTTCACGGCGAGCGGAGGGGCGATCGGTGTTGGGTTATCGTCACGCTCTGCGCAGAGGGAGAGAAGAGGAGAAGGCGAGAGAGAGGCAGAGATGAGTGGGTAACTGGGTGGTCCCGGCGGTGTCAATGGGTCGGACCCGACCCTGCCCTAACCCTTCTAATGCCCACGATTAAAAGCCTTAAGCAAAGAAGACCAAGGCCCAACCCCAAAACACCCCAAAATTTTGGACCGGGCTGGGCGGGGCGGGGCTTTTTTGACGACCCCACGAATGGTGCGGGGGAGTTCAGGCATATTAGACTGAATGGTGTCTTCTGCAAATTTTGGCGGCTTCCAATCTGTCTTCAACTTGGTGAATGCCGACAAATCAGGCAACCTTTCCAGGGACTCGCATCCTTCGATCTCCGCATTCTTCAAAGAAATCAATTCTTCCAAGCCTTCCACGGCTCTAATCTTAGAACTATCCCATAGCATGAGATAACGTAGATTCTTCAACTTCGAGAGGTTAGGTAATTGTTCGATCTCCCTACAACACCAAATGCGTAAAAACTTTAGTGATTCCAGTTCACCCAAACCTGGAATCTCAGCTAATTTGTCTAAGTGGCAGAGCTGTAGCTCTTCTAGCTTCTTCAAGCCCGAAAGATCGGGTGTCTTCTCTAGGAATTTGCAGTGAGTTATCTCCAATTTCCTTAATCTCTCCAAGGATTTAAGGACGGGGAAGTGTGGCATCGGACATCCGCCGATGGTGAGAATCGACAAGTTTTTGAAGTCGGAAAAATCTGGCAATTGCGGGATATAGTGAAGTTTCAAGGTTGATAAGCCACGCGGAAGCCGATGGATGGACAGCATGACCTCGTTCTCGCTCTCGCTCCAAAGTGCAGTAAATGGCCCACACAAGTGGAGATGATCCAAGTGGACTAGGCTCGAGAGGTCGGGAAGAACATTGAAATTAACAACGCCCACCACCTCAAGGAATTTCAAACTCGAGGGAAGCTCCGGCAATGGGCAAAACCGGCCCCTTGCAATTTCAAATTTAAGTGTTTGGAGACTAGAGAAACCACTTATTTTTGGCGGCAGTGTAGAGATTGGGATCATACATAAGTCCAAGGTCCTCAGACGAGTCAGGCTCCACATTTCCCACGGGATTTCATTCATGATATGCTGACAATACGAGGCATCAAGCACTTCGAGCGTCTCCACCTGTCCAAGAGCACAAGGTATCATATGTATCCTTGAACTTGCCACCCTAATGACTTTTAGTCTCTTCAGATTTCCAATGGAATCAGGAAGAGTGAAGATAGATGACCCTTGTATATCCAACTCGACCAATGATTCTAGTTCCCCAAGAGAGTCCGGAAGCTCATGCAAAGTTTCGCATTCACGCAAAATCAAATGCGTGAGATTCGTTAACTTTCCAATAGACCGAGGAAGTTGGCTGATACCCGGACACCGAAAAATTTCAAACTTGGTCAAAGATTTTAGATTGCCTAGTGTCTCAGGAAATTTAAAATGTTCCGTTGTTGAGCAAAGGAAAATCTCTGACAAGTATTTTAGGGAACCGATTTCTTTGGGCAACCCTTGAAGGGAGCTACATCCCTCGAAATTCAAAGCACTTAGCAGTTTTAGCTTACCAATTGAACTATCAATTGTAGACAAACCAATACACCCAGCGAGAATCAATTTCTCCAACTGGCCAAACTCGGAAAAATCAGGTGTCTCGGTTAACATAAAGCAATTTTCCAAATTTAGAACTTTCAACTTTTTCGCCATCTGCAGTGGATAAACAAGGCCAATGACATGCCCACGACAAGTATGAGAATACAGTAGCATACAACTAGCTAGCGAAGGTCAATCAGTAGAATTTGAAGGGAATGTAAGCGAGGAGTGTTGGTACCTTGATTTGTCTCCATCCACCCCATTTGTGGGTGATTTCGCTCCGCGAAAGGTTGAGCACTACCAAATTCACCGGTTGAAGATTCGTCGCTCTAATATTCTGCGGGCGATAACGCCAAGAAAGCCATCTTAGATTGGGAAGAAGATTTTCGAAGTTGCCCACGAAATCCATTCTTTCCCCTCCAAGGAACCTCAAGTTTGGAAAACGAGCTAATTCTTCAGGTGTAAAGTCGTGACTAATACCCAGACTGAGTGCTCGTACATCTGGGTTTTCCTGCCAGTAGCATCAGAGAATAAAGATGAGTGCACCATAGAAAGCAATAAACCAACAAAGTAGTCATCAATATCAGTAGTTCTTCTTAGACCCCAAACTGATTAAATCAGTCGCCATGTTGTAAAAAAAAAACAGCCACCTTATTTGTTATCAATTTGAAAAGAAGACAAACCAAGCATGTTTAAAATGTTCATTCAGTGTTGCTATTTCTGTCGTTTCACAGACTAAACACCTTTTCAAGGAAAGAAACAAAGAACTCATTTTCATTCTCACCGAAATAAGAAACGAATGAACATGGGGAAGGCATGAAAACATATACTTTTGTTGTTTATAGAGTTGCTTTCTATTTCTTTATAAATTAGTGAACAAAGCAAGTCATCAACCGATATTCTAGATTTTTAAACACATGACGAAAGATTTTCATGGATTGATCGTATCTTCTACCATTAGTGACTTTCACCTTGTTGCTCCTCAGCACGTCTAAAGTGTTCTTGTCAATCCACACCCAACGGCGCTTTCCAGCATCTTCAAAATTCTCTTCCTTGACAAGGTATCTTCCTAGATCTCGAATTTCATCATGCATCCAGAACTTATTGTGCTCATCAATCTTTATCAACGACATGAGGAGAAGATCATCAATTGCGCTACGAGGAGAATATCCACAATCATCCCACATGTAATACGCATGCGTCTTATCCTCCCCGATGCAAAAACATGCAATATCTAGGAATATTGCTTTTTTTCTGGGATCCAATTTGTTGAAACTTATCATCAGTGTGTCTCGGACTTCCTCATGCGGGACTTGCTTTAAGTCCTTCAATGTCTCGTGCCACTTCGATCTGTCTGTGTTGGCGAAAAGAGAACCCACGACTTCAAGAGTCAAAGGAAGCCTCCCTATGCTTAAAACGACTACTTTCGAGAAATTGTGCCAATCTTTTGGAGGAGTATCGCTTCTGAAGGCATGCTTGCTGAATAGCAAAATCGCTTGATCCAAAGGCATCTCCTTTACTGGGTAGTCCATGTAATAGCTAGGTCGCGTTTGGTTCTCCTCATCTAGCATCGTCCTATATGGTATTGTCCTTTTGTCCCTGACTGTGATGATGATCCTGCTTCCGGAACCGAACCATTTGTAGCTCCCTGCGAGGTTCTCGAGTTGCTCCTTGTCGTTCACATTATCGACAACAACCATAACCTTTTTCTCGCTAAGTCCTTTTCTTATGCGATTGATCCCATCGTTAGTGTCATGGATTCCGTCAGTAGAGGTCGCGCCTATTGTGTCGGATAACAGCTTCTTTTGCATGTCTAAAAGATGATGACTTTGGACATCTTCAAGGAAACTGGAGCAACCGAATTTAGACAAGAATTTGTTGAAGATAACCTTAGCCAGAGTTGATTTACCAATACCACCCGTACCATGGATTATGACGAATCGTACGCCATCAGAGTCAACATCCAACAATTCCTCTATAGCTTCTTCATCGTCCACTTTAACTAGATGGTCAGGAAGAGATCTATTCTTCACCTTCAGCTTAAGTTGGACCTCTCGAACAATCGATCCTATAAGTTCTCCATACCTGCCATACAAAGATGGTGGACAAATTCAGATTGAGAAAATGATGAAAACGTACTATTCCTAGCTTTCAAGCATATCCGATTTGAATAAGATAATCTACATATATTAAGACTGTTTTGCAAAGAGTGGCAGTTTTTCAAATAACAAATTTGATTTCATTGAAACATAACAGCCCCAAGTTACAATGAAATTATTCAATTTATAAAGGGCTCAAATTAGCTACCGTGGCTACTGGCCAGACTTGCATTGGTTGGGTTTAAACCCTAACACTGCTGCCCAAACTCTCATTGATTGGGTTTAAACACCAGCACTCAGTTTGGATGCAGTGACTAAGAGAAAATGGAAGGGACTCGGGTAATGACCAAGAGAAAGAAACGGTTGATTTTACAGTTGTTTGTATGCTTACGGAAGATAAAAAAGAAAATGAAGGAAATTAAGCCATTTCATATTTGGTTGAAGCAGAGAAGAGAGTGGAAAAGAAGTTAATTATATCTTTGTGACTATTTTGTCCTTCTACTTATTCATAGATTAAATAAATGAGAATTAACGAGGCCTTTGGCTGGTTAAAAATTAAATATCAGCAACAATTAACTCATGTCATAGAATGCTCATGAAAAAAAAATATGAGCGGCATAGAAGGTTCACTTTATGCCGCGTCTCCAAGTCTCTCTCCTTAAATCCCGATAAGATCTAGGAGACACAATAGACTTCCTTTAGTAATTGTAGAGACGAAGTGACCTGATTCAGGTGCTTGCTTATCTACATAAAACAAATTAATTGTTATTTGTTGAAATCTGATTTTCATCAAATGATTTTTTGTTATTTTTAATGTGCAGGCAATATTTTGAGATTTATCAAACATATAATTAGTTCATGTGCTAGTAGTATAAAATCAGTATGTTTGATCTACACTGAACAAGCATTAATATTTGTCTTTCTGTTGTTCGTACTTTTCCTTTTTCTCTAAATTGTTGAAAAATATTTATTTTGCTATTTAAATTTGTTTTAGGCTTTTCACAAACCAAACAGGATGCTAAAACTTAGCATTTAACCACAACTTGAGAATGACTTCAAACATTCGCATTGAATTGTTTCAACTATATCAATTATAGAGATAAATTATAGTTACTCGAAGATAAATTGAAATTGGGATGTTTTCAAATGTATAAGAAAAAATGCGCTCTTTTCAGATTATACTAAAATTAATAGCAGGAAAAAGTTACGGAAACTTACTCTTTCCCTTCCCGCTTCCAGCCTACTCTAGTTGCAACCTCAACAAGAGCAGCTTCCCAGCACTTCACCTCATCCGGGCCATACTTCTCCGCATGCTTAGACAGGGCATTCCTGTACAATTCAGTTTTGAGCTTCACATCCTCTGGCTCCACGTCGAAAAAAAGGGGAAGGATATCCTTCTTCCCTTCCGACTTTAAAGTGCAATCTATCATATGCGAAACCTCACGGAGACACCACCGACTGGAAGCGAAGCCCTTAGAGAAGATGGGGATATAGATTTGAGTGTCTTCAAGGGCTTGCAAGAGCTCTCCCTCAATCTTCTCACCGACTCGGAGCTCTTCGTCGTCTTTGAAGACGCGGATTCCTTTCTCCACCATTTCACGGTAGAGACAACTAGTGAAGTCGCGCCGAGTATCCGGTCCTCTGAAACTCAGGAACACCTCGAACTCCATTCCTGATGTGCGAGTGGCTGGTGCCATGGCACGAAGCAATTGAGACTTGAGACAGAATCGAGCTGAACGAAAATAGTCGATGGGCTTGCTCAAGAAATCAATCGAGCGCAGTTTAGATAAAACTGAAAAACAGGTGATGGGTTTAGTTAATCACCAACTCACAGCCATCAATTGGTGATGGCATTCGATCAAGAAATCGAAAACGAAACCGATATAAAGAGAGAGTACCTAGAATGCGCTGATCGACGGCCAAGCGAGATGAGACAGCGACTGAGTCGAGATCTAGAGAGATGAGATGAGATGAGACAGGGACTTAGTCAAGACTAAAGAGAGAGAGATCAAAGGGAGCCGCCGGAGAAAAGAGGGAGAGAGCCAAGATCTGAGAGAGAACTAGAAAGTGGAAAGTGTTTGAGATTCAAGGTATTGTAGGGTTTAGCTCCGGTTCCCAAGAACAGATCTTTACCAGGCCTGAGTGACGTACTTTTTTAGCATTATTCTTATGGATCTGAGCCGCCCTCTGCAGGGGCTGTCCTTTGAAGTTTCCACCGATGCCCAAATACAAAAGGAGAACAAAAGAAAAACTCTACAACATGGAGGATATTAACGAAATCACTTCCAATTTTTCTAAAAATTTAAATTATTAAATAAAAGCATAATTTAATATTTAATTATTCAAACGGAACAAATTTTACTCGAACTTTTGCAAGTAAAAAAAAAACATGAATCCTTACACTTGTGGGGAAAATACTATAGTCTTTTACTCCAAGCCAGCTCTACAGGTTAACAAACAAACGTGAAATTAAAAACTTCTTCCTTTGATGCAATGACAACATACATAAAAAATTCGAGATTATTAAAACTCCAGACCTTTCATACTCATTCAGCGGACCGCGGGGAAGAACCTCCTCAGCCCCAGTACGACCAAGGCACACTTTGGATGCAAAGAACAGAAGCTTAGGGGGCGTTTGGCAGGTTGTCAAATAGTAAAAATTTAGGTTCTTTTGTTCCCAAAATCAGTTTGGGAACAGAAATCTGTTTATTAAAATTTTTGTGCCCGAGTACAAATTTGCAAAAAATTGTTCCCAGAATTAATTTTGGAACATAATTAAGAAGCAAATAAAAGTATTTTCTTAATTCCGGAATAATTTTTCCATTTTTGACTCTTCTTAGTTTTCTTTTTCCTTTTTGGTTTGTTGTTGTTCTTCTTCCCAGTCTGCCGCCGGCCACCGGTCAGGGCCGACGAGGGCGGCTCGCGGCCGCGACGGCGAGGCCTCGCCTAGCCATGGCAAGGCCGACCTCGCCGTCGCCGGGGGTGGCGACGACGAGGTCGACCTTGCCAGATCTGGGCGAGGTCAAGCCTTGCCCGACCATGGCGAGGCCGACCTCGCCGTTGCAACCGGCGAGGGCCGCGACGCCCTCGCCGGCCCTGGCTTGTGGCCGGTCGCCGGCGCCGATGACTTGCCATGGCCAAGGACGGGAAGGAAAAAAAAAGAAAAAAAAGGAAAAAAAGGAGAAAGAAATATTAAAATATTTAAAATTTTATTAATAAAAAGAAATTTTGTGCAGTTACCAAATGCATTTATGTTCTTTTTCTATTCTAAGAATAGAAATTTTGGGCAGTTACCAAATGCCTTCAAATGCTTAGAAATTGTTCCCAGACACAAAATAAAAAAAAATCATTTCTAAGCAGAATCAGTTCCTGATTATAGAATCGTTGCCATGCGCACCCTTAATCACCTGAAATATGGGGACAACGATAAAGAGCATCATTGGTGGTTTCATTTTGGATTTGAGAGAAATACAAAGATTTTTCAATCTCAACAAGTTATTTTAAGTCACCAAACCTGAGAAGCAACAAATGCACACTCGACAATACCAGCGTCGCCCCTCAACCCAGGCAAGCACGCAGCGGCAAACTTCAAAGCAGCATATGCCCACATATTTCAATTTCACATTATTTGAGCATGTGAAAAGAGTCCGCATATCAAAGAGCCATCAAATTTCCTTTTCGTGAAAGAGATCAGACTATATCTCAAGGAACAAAAAGAGGACTGACCATTGAGAGAGTTGCCGAGCCAGTTCGAGCGAGTTCCAGCTTTAGCCTGAAAGTTGTTGAGGCACGGACGAACACAATTCAGTTGGCTTCACGACAAAAATGTAAGGAAGTAGGGAAGCGAAGTCTAAGATGTCAGGACATAATTTCATTGAGAGAGTTGCCTAGCCAGCTCCAGCTTTAGCATGAAAGTTGTCAAAGCCCAGACGTACACAATTCAGTTGGCTTCACAAAATAATGTAAGGAAACAGAGAAGTGAAGATGTCATGTATTCGACCAAAAAAAAAAAAAAGACTAAGATGTCATGTCATAATTTCATTGTGGAAACAGATGCAAAAAGTCCAGTTTCGATTAGAAATCAACAATCACTTCTAGAAAATCTGATGTATTTAATAATTCTGTCCCCGTGTGAACTTCTCCTCTTATCATCAAAATGCAAGTCATTCTCTTAGCCGTAACAACAAATGATGTATGGAGCTCTGTTTCTACATTCATTCTGTTACCTGCCTTTGTTTCCATTGATGAGGAGCAGACAAAATAATCAGAAACTAAGATATTCTCCACAACTGCTTGCTTCTGCCTATAGCCCAAGACAGAGTAATCACCTTGTACATACTTTCACACGCGAGGTGTCCCGTTAATTCGGACAAAGATCTTTCTTAACACTTTTTCTTGGGTAGTGGTAATGGATAGGTTTCCAAGGTGGCATTCGTAAATCGAACTCCTTGACCTCCACAAGTAGAGATAATAACAAGCTCTCCTATGTTCATGGCTTCGGGACCTAATTAAACAAAATTCAATTTTGAGCAGATTTATCTTAGATCCAAGCCCTCCTGATGCTCTGAAAAAAGCCAGGAAATTGAAATCGGAGCATCCTTGATTGTCAATGAGCTTGCTTGAGGTGAGACATGTTGCGGTTACTATATTACTCGTCCAACTATTCGAGACAGATCGAAAGCATGTGCTATTGCTTATGCGTCCAGCCGGAGTTCTTGGTACCAATAAACATTTATAATAGTGTAAATTAGTGCAACAAAAGTAAAAGTGGATCCGAATTCCTAAGTGATGCGCGTGGGACGGGACCTCGAATTTCTTAAACAATGAGGCTCTTTAGATAAAGTTATTATTAATTATTATTATTAATTTATTAAGTGTCTTCATGCCCAACTCTGCCCCAACCCTACCACTCCCTTCTATGAAACTTCCTCTTGATAGTAATTTAATAATCAACATAAACAAATATAAAATAATCTGTAGGTGCTGAATTAACGTAGCAATAATAATATAATGTATAAAAACGAGGCAATAAACCATTATTATCAAACTAATTTAAGTCCCATGCGTTACACGACTAAAAGTTGATTTATTGAAATATTTGTTCTGGAGATATATGGTCTAATTTTCGAAGTCAGCATTCATTTATCAACCAAACAACAAAATCTTACTAGGAACATATGAATCATTAGTTTAGTCATTATTTCTAAACGTCATATTTCAATTGAATGTTGTTATGTAGAGACGCACAAACTGAAGTATATTGTGGGGTCTTAACCTTTGTTGATTCCTGTAATATACGGTCAGACTTGTGTCTAGATTGGTTATATTCTATATCTAACAGGATCTTTGTCCAATTGGTTTTGGAACCTATAAATAAGCCACAGGTTATAACTTTGAAGTTATGGTATTAAACCATTCTCATTATTATTCTATTTGTAACTTTAGTGTCAGAACCATGCTCTTTTTGTGCAAACTCAATAGTTGTTCATTTACTGTGGTAGCTCATCCAGCCTGTTGCACCACTGTCCCTCATTGGAATGGCATGAATTAATAGCTGGGTGTGATGCATTTCTCACGATCCCACAGTTGTGATGCATTGGGTTCACATAAACCCAATGCATCTTACTATCTTTCGATTCAACTTTTTTTCCTAATGACATAGGCTTAAAATTTCATCGTAGATGACACGAAAGAGGTTCATAGAAAAAGAGCCGCTTTAGTATGATAAGGTACGGTAACCGCCTGCCAAACCAATTGTTTCTCGAAGTTCCAGGGGATGCAAATTGGTCAGTGACCTAGCTAAGTGCAATGACACGGTATGGCTTTCCAAATGATGGAGCAATTTCTTAGATTATTATTCCATCAATCATGGACATTTCTAGTCATTTCATATGAAGGGGACGCAATCTTTCATATCCTAATATTCGATAAAAGTGCATCCAAGATAGAATATCCCTCGAAACCACATATATCCCAAGAAATTGTTAGACCCCGAGGTGGATGAGATCGATGATGTCTCGGCAAGAATTGAGGAGGACATCAGTTTGCCAAGAGAAAGAAGGAGGGAATTAAAGTCGCCATCGTGCTTGGCCTCGCCAAGCAAGCTGATGACGAAATCCAGTCCTGCTAGGGAAGATCAGAATAATTCCCAATGCCCGCTTGCCAACGCCACATTATGAAGCTAAAGGCTCTCATTCAAGAGATAGAAGGCCTTCGAAGCCGAAGAATAACATTCGTTCGTATTGTTCATCACGAGGCTCCGGTGTTATGATTTATTTCACTTAAAAATAACCTGTTTCGTCTTTCAATTGTACAGTGATTGAATAGGTCTCTTGGTTCACTTTTTTGTTTTGAAATGTTGCAGGCAGGATCAAAGAGTCTGAAAAAAAGAGCAAGCCCTTTTGAGCAGATTCACCTTAGGTCTAGATTTCCAAGCCCTCCTGATGCTCCAGCTGCTGTTGCTGATATCAGGAAACCAAAACATATAATAATAATAATAATAATAAACAGATTTGCCATCAAAACTGATGCACATGGGGATAGAATCAAGCCGACAACGTCGAACTTTTTTTACCATGAATCATGAGACCCCTTTAGAAAAATGTATTAGGAGTTATTATTATTAAATATTTAAGCCTCTTCAAGCCTAACTCTACCCCAACCCTACCACTTCCTTCCATGAAATTTCCTCTTGATAGCAACTTAATGATCAAGATAAGCAGATATACTATATTCTGGTGGTGTTTAATTCATGTAGATTGCATAATAACGAGATAGTAAACCATTATTACCAAACTAGATGAAGTCCCATGCGTTCCCCAGACCTAAAGTTGATTTATTGAAATATTTGTTTTGGAGATATATACTATAATTTCACGAGGTGAGCATTCATATATCAATCAAACAACAAAACTTTCCTAGGAACGTATGAATCATTCGTTTAGTCTTTCTTCCTAAAATATGCGATATTGCATTTGAATGTTGTTATGTAGATGTTATATTTGATTAGCAAAAACTATAGCATATTGTGGGATCTCGATCTTTGTAGACTTCCCGTGATCTATACTCGGTAAGACTTGTGTCTAGATTAGTTATATTGTATATTTAAAAGGATCTTTTCCAATTGGTTTTGGGACCTAATTGTTGGAGTTGACGAATATTTCGGGGATCCTTATTTCTCATATCAGGCACGCCCACGTGAGCTTAGGGAAACCGAAATATGAACCGACGACATGTGACCCCTATGCACGGAATGTCGAGAGTCCCGCTGCTCGGATAATGGGCGGGGGTTCCACTCTCCGGTGAGTGAACAGCGGGCCCGCTCGCCGGTGAGCGAGTGGGGGCTCGGGGGTAGCGCCCTCGAAACTACATCGGGTTTTTTTCGTTTAGGCTTGTGTTTTAAGCTGACCCGTTTGTTATGAGATCAAAGGAATTCGGATAGACTTATGGTTTGGGCCCATTTTAAGTCGTATATATTGTACTCATATGAGAAATCATTGTGACGAGTTGTTGTGGTTGTAAACCTAAATATCATAGTGGAATCCCTTTGCAGACGTAATCCTATTCTGGGGTGAATCTGGGTAAACTCGTTTGTCAATTTTTCTATTATCTATGTGATTACCCATCACTAATTAAACAAAATTCTGTTTTGAGCAGATTGATCTTAGATCCAAGCCTCCCGATTGTCAATGAGCTTGTTTGAAGCAAGACATGTTACGGTTACCATATTACTTGTCCTACTGAATGAGACTGACTGAAAGCTTGTGTTGTTGCTTATGCATCTAGCCGGTGTTGCTAACCGGAGTTGCTAATACCAAGAAACATCACTAATCAGGTAAATTAGTGCAACAAAAGTAAAAGTGGATCCAAATTCCTATGTGATGCACATGGGACGGGGCCTCGAATTTCTTAAACAATGAGGCCCTTTATGATTAATTTATTAAGTCTCGTCAAGTCCAACTAGCCCCATCCCTGCCACTCCCTTCTATGAAACTTCCTCTTGATAGTAACTTGATGATCAAGATAAACATAATCTAATCAAAATAAATTAATCTAATGTATAAGAACGAGGCAATAAATCATTATTACCAAACTAGTTGAAGTCCCATGCGTTGCACCGACTAGAAGTTGATTTATTTAAATATTTGTTTTGGAGATATATGGTGTAATTTTACGAAGTGAGCATTCATTTATCAACCAAACAACAAAATTCTACTAGTATGAATCATTAGTTTAGTCTTTCTTCCTATAATATGCCATTTTTTCATTTGAATGTTGTTTTGTAGATAAGCAAAAACTGTAGTGTGTTGTGGAATATTGATCTTTGTTAATTTCCTGTAATATATACCCGGTCAGACTTGTGTCTAGATTAGGTATATTCTATATACACCCGTCAAATAAGTGGCTTCGGTTGAAAATGGTCCGACACAAATCTGTTTTGACAAATTTACGTAAACTACAAATATGTCAACCCAGACTCGTCCGTACCCGACTAGACCCAAATCCATTTGTAGCAATTTTTTCCCTTAAATTGTTGCCTTTGAAGAATGGGCAGCTCCATGAACATTCTCATTAAGTTATTGAGGGAGCTTGGGGTACAGTTATAGATGGAGGCGCGAAGGTGGTGGTGAAAGTCCAACATAGGCCATCCATAAATTAAGAAATATGTTGAGGCTTTATTTTGATGCTAACATGAGCTTTTCTTAATTTTATGGTTCACTTAAGTATAAGACTATTGTTTTCCTTTTATCTTGTCAATAACGTATATTAAACTTT